GAAATATGCCTGCAGGTACAGAAATATGCCTGCAGATACAGAAATATGCCTGCTGAGGTTCTCAAATGCCGAGGAATGCACCTGGACATGCATCCGTAAAAGGTACAGAAGTATGCCTGCTGAGGTTCTCAAATGCTGAGGAATGCACCTGGACATGCATCCATCCGCCTGGATGTGGAGAGACCTAGGGTGCATTTCTACCCCCGTCCCTTGCACATGCCCCCCCCCCCCCCCCCCCCTCTCCTCCTTCTCTTTCCCCTTCAGCATGCAGGTGTATCCAGGAAAGATTAAAGTGACAGTCAGCTAATGTTCTAGGTAGGTGCTTCTCCATGCTGCGGGAACTCTAGCGAGTGCGTGGCCCAGACATGAAATGTGCGAAAATGTGAGGAACGGTAATCGTGCTGTGTGTGTTATTTATGTTGATATCAGCCCTTTTTCATGTCTCTGCAGATCGGTGGGCGCATCGGATACAGCATTCGTGGTTCTTTGCAGTCCCAGTGCAAGGCTTTTATAGACACGCAGCATGCGGGCAAGGTATTTGTTCTTTGTACACGTTGTGCATTCGGCGGATAATAGTTTTGGTAATCAATGCCTCAACAGAGTTGTATGTGTAGTAGTTCGAGGGTTTTCTTTGTGGAGGGGTCAAAATGAAGCAGCCCTTTTCTGCACAAGCGGGGCTGCTGTATTGCCCTCAGTGTGGCTCACCATTATATAACTGTGAATACAGGTATAATGTGTCTGCAATGGCTCTGCCATGTCTGCATCCTCATTGGCAGAAGAGTGAGGGGCTTTTTTCACTGTCCACAGTCAACATGAGCCAGCCTTTTGAGCAGCATCTTGCCCCCCGATGAAATGCAGGGCTGCTATATCTGTCCTGATAATTTTGGTGAATAGCACTGTATACAGACATAATGTGTCTGTGTGTCTGCATCCTACTTGGTGGAAGCCGGTAGCTGAGGGCATTCGTTTGCACCTTTGCTCAGACCAGAAAGACATTTTTCACTTTATTTCCTTGGTGTTGGCATGGTCGGTTTTGCATGCATCCAGATCATGCTGGTCTCTCCGTTTGTCTTAAACCACCAGTTCACCCAGACCTATTTCGATGAACCAAAGAATGCCTTTGCCGAGCCTGAAAGTGACCGGTAGCACCCATTGGCAAATTGTGGGCAGTACCGGTACCGGCCTCTCTGAGGACTGCAGTGCGGGACGTGCGGCCAGCGTATGGAGCAAAAAGGAAGCTGTATCGCGTCTCCTTACATTGTGTTCACTCATGTGCGGCCCAGCCAGCTCTCGAATCCATGACAGCAGATGGAAAAAAAAACAAAAAAAAACAGGGCCCCGTCAGTTCAATGATGATATCTCAGGGCCATTGCCTTTTCCAAAAGAGAAACAGAAAAAAATGAGAGAAAAACCTACTATGACAGTACTGTGGGCCTCACTCCACTACTCACCAAATGTGCAAAATCGGAATGAATCTTCCGCTAAACATGGAAAGAGGACCGCTGCCATGTTTTTTTTTGTCTTTTCTGCATATGGAGAGTAGTGGATCGAAGTCCTGTATCACGGCCTCGCTCCACTACTCTCAACATGCACAAAAGACAAAAATCATGGTGGTGTATCTTTCCATGTTCTAGCGGAAGACTCGCTCTCGTTTTGCACATTTCGAGAGTAGTGGAGCGAGGCGAGGCCCTCAAGCAGGAAAGACACGTGTCCTCGTCCCACAATTGGGTCTCGCTGCACTACTCTCCGAAGGTGCAAAATGAGATTCTATCCACCTCTAGAACATGGAAAGATAGTAAGATACATTACCATCTTTTTTGTCTTTTGTGCACGTGGAGAGTAGTCTGGCGAGCCTCCCTCCATCACTCACCACAAGGGAACGGGCATCCCCAAATTGGGCCTTGCTGCAGTACTCTCCGAATGTGCAAAATGCCAAAATGAGACCGAATGGGTGGTGGGAAGAGAGTACCCTGTTGCGAAGAAAAAAGAAAAAAAAATATCTTGTCATGTTCTCAGTGAAGATTCATTATGAACTTGCACATTTGGTGAGTGGTGGAGCCATGCCCTTAGCCACACTAGTTCTTTTATTTTTTTGTTTGTGTTCACTTTTTTTTTTTTTTTTTTTTTTCATCGTTTTCCTGAGTGTTGCCCTTTTTGGGGGCGTGACAGCTGCAACGGGATTTTTTTTCGTGTGTTCCTTTTGTAACGTTTTTTTTTTTTTTTTGGTGTTATTGTTTTTCTTTCCCTTCGGCAGTGCAGATGTTTTCACTCCTGTGGCTTCTGCTCAACAGCTAGACCTAGGCACATGACGGCGTTTTATTTGGGCCCGCCACCCTTGTCCTGCCAAACCTCTTCAGGCCCTGGGCCGAACGTCCCAGGCCCGTTCGCAGTTTACTGCAATCGATGAACAGTGCATGGCAGTGAACTGGTGGTTTGGCCCATGTGTTCAAAGGGGGATTCTTTTTTTTTTTTTTTTTGGAAAAAAGCATACAAGTGTCGACTCCTCATATATGAGGGACAGCTGTATTTCTATTACGCTATTTGCCTCTCTCAGTTGATCCTCGGACTAGCTACCGGTCCAATCAGGACTAGCAGACTAGTAGCAGTAGTATCAGCCAGCACTTCAAATCTATGCATATCAGATAATCAGAGTCAATCAGACAACAATCCTAGTCTATGCACCACAGACGCAGTTTGCTAAGGGTTATGGGTTTAGGCCTCCCTAGTCTACCCAAGCCTATCTATCCGATTATGCAACAGTGAGGGTATCTACTCACTCAGTGCGGGGAGTAGTACCCAGACTCCTAACCCCTAGCATGGGGTGGTAGGATTGCACATCCTTTTACCAGACCAACCAGGGGGGGGCAAGCCAACTATCTCAACTCAAAAAGGGGTTATATTACTCGGCATCTATTGAAAGTTAACGCGACTGTCAATAATGATGATCTTGTGACGGAGAACTTTGAAAGTGTAAAGAAGAGTGGGTGCCTTCCCCCTGATTATTCAACCACAGATTGACAACGAAATGTATCAGCTTTGTTCAGTCCACACTGCCCTGCACTCGTTCTGTGAGTGTTTTTCTGTAAGGTGGACGCTTCTGCTTCAGATATTGTGTGCCTTGTCTGCAGGTTGGGGGCGGGGGGGCATCCTAATCTTCTCAGAATTGTTCCGATTTTAGTAGATGTCCCGGCGGACTGTACAATTTTATATTAATTTAGGCCAAACACAAGCATGCAGTGCTGGGTGCATGTACCAGAGTGGTCTCTAGTCAATCAGTGAACAAAAGAAAAAGTGAGAAGGTTGAGTGTAGGGATGAGTATTGAAGACGCAGAAAGAGATGTCATCACGTTTTATCTATGACATCTCCAGTGCTAGGATTAGACCCCTCGCATAGGCCCTGTAGGCACTACGGGTCGCACACATAAGTCGGGGCCCATTTTTTGACTGGTCTGCTGGACCTCGCCCCTGTGCTGACTGGTTGAGCTGTGGGCTCTCTCCCAGAAATGCCTGCTGGGAGCTCTGTGCGACCGGGACGTGTGACAAGCCAACTGGCCGAGACGTCACACACTGCTCCCCGGCCAACGAGAAAGCGGAGAACAGCGACGGCCACATCACACAGTTGAAGGGCCCTAACTAACTTGGGCCCAGTGCAGTATCTCAGCATAAACGACACCACAGACACATCTCTTCTTCTCCCTGGTCAGACTGCGAGACGTTCCATGGACTCTTATCCCCGCGTCTCCCACTCTACCCTAGAATGTTTGTCGAAGTAACCTAATTTCTATAACATGGCTTTTTCCTGGTAAGTGCAGCTCTAAAATCTTTTTGTTGGTATTTGTTTTGGGGGGGGGAATGAATATTTTCTGCTCATGCTATTTCCCACAAAATCTTTCGGGAAGAGCTTCTCAATCTGGTCTGTAAGAAGGCTGCCATAGGACGATCATCGGCATCCCACGTTGAAGTAGCCATGAATTGACTGCTTACCTGCTGGTCTCGGGATTTGCAGTATTGGAACTTCAGTCCTTCGACCCCTTTGTTCAGAGAGTCCCGTCTATACCATTGGTTCATAACTTGTAGGTCTTTTGAGAATCGGGGGAGGAGATAGAGGATGAGGATGGAAGAGGAAGAGGAGTGGACGAGGAGGAAAGGACGAGGATGGGGGGGAAGAGGAGTGGTGGATGAGTAGGACAGAAGGGGAAGGTTGAATACAGCATGCAGTAGTAGGAGTGACCGAGGAGCAGTAATTTTAGGAGGGGGGGGGGGGGGGGATTTTGCGTCTGGAATGAAGAGAGCGGAGATCTGCAGGATGAGAGAAGTAGGGCAATGTCGAGGACAGTGTGGAGGAGGAAAATGGAAA